TTAGCAACTGGGCAAAAATGACTGCAGAACTGAAGTCACAGTTCTACATTATTTTCTCAGTTAAATTAGTCACCAGCTTATTTTGTGCTTGTGGATCATCCTCAGTATATGTAGCATGTGTGCATAATCTGATACATGTGCACAACATGCCCAGGGTTTTTTGGATGTGTGCCATCTGTTCCTCCCCAAAAGACAGAAAAGTTATGTCGTGAAAATGAGTATGCTCTACCAGTGAGCTTTTGGTAAGTCGGTATTTCTGTGACCATGGCTGCCATTTTGTGCGTGGGCTAGGCTCACCATGCAAGCCATTTCGTGTGCCTTACCATGCTCTCAAAATTGCAAATATGTTTGCTGGCTAAAAGTAGTTGTGGATCACAAACTAGATCTCTGTGCCAATGGTACATGTTTATAACTTTAGTGGACTGATCATTTATTAAGAACCCTGTTCCTGACAGGTTCAAAATTGATTAAGAATAGAGATCATCCATTTTTCCTGAGGACTCCTTAGTCAATTTCAAAAACATGAATTTGAAAAATGGAAAAGGATTTTGGAAATCAGAAACAACTATAGAGCTAGAAAAATCAATAACATAGCAAGGAGTTAGAAATTGTGTAGCAGCCCTACACAGCTATGGTTACTAAAGCACAACTAATATGGTCAAGTTTTAAAAAATCATGCATAATGTTACATTCTTGGCCTTAGTCTGAATGTTTTTAGAGGAAAATGGAAGCTCTAATGACATTCACTATTAGTAACCTATTTTCCAACTGTACAATCAACCAGTTAAAATTATCTGAAGATATTCATTATATAGCTGAGATTACAATAAACATTCCCCTTCCCTACTGGTTCTGTCCCACTGAAGCCATGGGGTAAGTCATATTTCAGTTCAGAAGACAAACAATGGTAAATGGATTGTTCTTCGTACACTTAGCAAAATGTAGAGTACCAAGCTATCTCAAGAGATCAACTTCTTTATGCCACCTCTGTTTTTTCCTGTCCCCCATTAGATTTCTTGTTGCCTTGCTCTAGATAGAAGATGGATTTCTTTATTTCTTCCTTTTTGTAGATGACTGGCTCAGATAATCAAAGTCAAAAAACCAGGGGCGATGATACCACTGAGCCATCAGAACAGGCCTGGTTGTAAATTTAAACACCACTTTTATTCATTAATCTCCAACAGCTAAAGACAAACTAAAAGCAAAATTAACATGATTGCAATGGAAGCACTCTTGTACCCTGGGGCTATTTTGGGGCCTGCTGAGAGAGAGTGAGCTGATCAAAGAAAAAGGCCGCATCAAGGCTAGTGCAATAAGCGTGGCTCCACTGTGTTAATGGTTAGCTTCTTCTTCCTAAACTGTTTTGAGAGCTTGCCAGCACCACAATTAATCTGGGCTTCAATTTGGAGGGAAACGGCGCAATGGCCTGTCCAGTTTAATGACAGTATTTCACTCTGGAGATTTAATGCAAGCAATCAAAGCCACAGTATAATTGGTGGGCACCCTGGAGTTGTAATAATGGGGGGGGAGATGTTATTGCAGGATGATATGCTTTCCCTTTACATTCTATGCATGCACAGATACAAAAAAGAATAGTTGTACATTTTGGATCAGCTTCCCTGACCTGAAGGCTGACAGTTCGAGGAGCTGGGGTCCATCACATCTACAAAGACGTCAGGTTAAGAAAGACTGGTATTGAGAGTTGATTATTCCCCGATACTAGCATTTGGAATAGGGAACTGGCACATGAAGTTGCAGCAGCTGAAGACAGCTCTAGGTTATATGTGATTACCACAAATACCTGAATTATATCTATACTTCCTATCATGAACATCTGCAGGGAGGGCTCAAAAAAGTCAAGATGGCAGCCATGCCCATACAATCAAAGCCCTGCTCCTGTTTTATGTGTGTTGGGCATTTGCAATGCACATAAGACAGGGAGGGGCTTTGAACTTATCTTCATGACTGCGATTTTGTCAGCCTTAAGAGGTAGTCCAAACAAGCAGCACACCCAGGAGTACTAACACTACCTTTATTATAAGGTTACAGTAACAGAATCTTGCAAGTCTGAAAGTACCTCCTCACCTTAATAGTCCAAGAAATTAGGGAGGGTCCCTTCTGAGACATTTGCCATGCCTCCATTCCTTCTGCGGGCTCAGCTGCCACTTCTCTGACCACTGTCTTGTCTGCGGCTCTTCCACCTGTCCCCCAAGGTCATTCCCATACTATTACGTATCTTGACATCCCTCACCTGCAGACACCCCTGTTTTCTACAAAGAACACATCAAATGTATGGATCCATGCCCTCAAATACTTATGCATATATGTCTGGGATAGGGGTGCTCAAGGCATGAATTTATTATTCTCTCATAGGAGGTTGCTCGGTTAGAGATGATGACATGCTTGCTTTTCAAGCAAGAACATGTATAAAATGTGAAGTCATTCCAAAGTGTTGGGGGTCTTAAAGGGAGTTGTGAGAGAACCAGTTTCAAATCCCCAGTGAAGCTAACTATAAAGATAAAGGCTCCCTCAAATTGACCTTGACTGGGATGCAAAAGTCAAAATACTGCAATTAGAATAGTGTATTGCTTGGATGATAATCCATTTGTTTATGCTGAAAGGATCAATTAAACTTCTGCCACCCTTCTCAGCCTGCTGCCATGAAGCAATATAGCAAAAATTTAGCTAAGACAAATACAAGGAGACTAAAACAAAAGGTGCCCTTTGCAACATACAATAGAGCAGTCCTGGATTATATTAAAAGGACACAGGATAGATTTAGAAAAACATCTTAAATAAAGGATCTATATACTCAATTCAAATCCCAGGGTTGGAGAATGCTTGTTGAAGAATCCATCTGACAGATCTGTTCCTGTAATAGCAGACATTATGCACACGTAGGAAGGATCAGAGTGTCTGTAAGGTGTGATCAAGGAAGTCAAGATGTCAGCCACAACGGTGCAATCGAAGCTCCACCTGGTTCAATTACACCTTCGCGGCTGCCATATTGACTTTTTTGGTTCTGCAGGCACCCTTGATAAGGCCCTTTCGTATGCCAACAAACTGCTATTCTGACATTGGCCCCCCCCCCCCCCCCATATAGTCCCCATGTCACCATAGTTGTTTTGGAAAATCAAGCTGAAAACTCTGCAAGCTGACTTGTTCAGCTCCTGCTATAGAGGAAACTCTGTGATAGCAGTTGCTTATTACTTCCTCTGGGTGGGTGGAGGGGCTCCTGGTTGATAGGAACTCCAGCCTTGTCCTGCCACCTGCATTTCCTGCCTCCATGGCAAAAGCGTAGTGGTCCCTTGGTGTCTTGCCCTCTCATTCTCAGCTGACGGGAGGTGCAGGCCAGCTACTTCT